AGTGGACAATGGTCCTTCTATTAAGCTTATCTATGACTACCAATCCTATTTTAAGCATCTGTATCTATACCTATAGTAGATATACTAAGGTGAAAGCAAAAATCAAGGAGTTGTTGCTCAGAGTTGTTACGGATAAGATGTGAGGTAGTATCTCCTCCAGTGAAGGAGAATTGTATATATAGCTCGGTGTATGTTTGAGTCGTTGTGTTTTGAAGACAAGGAATAAACCTGGTATTTAACCAGACCTTTGAGATCCTAAAAGTGGATTTTGTGTGTACTTGATTTACAGTACTCAGCTTCATATCACCCAACCGTAACAAATTGGGGGCTCGTCCGGGAATCCCGAAACTGGAAAGCCTGATTGTCCGTGAACGACTTGATCGTCCGGAATTGTGAAAACGACCAAACTACAGAAGACAGCTGTAACTGAGGAACAGCCGATTTAGTGATTGTATCCAGCTTTGTGTTGTGGACCAACCCAATGAGGAAAGTAATCTGACTTGGAGAAGCGGAACATCACTTTTGGGAAGACATCGCCTTGCTAATTGCATTGATTTGCTTGGATTGCAATGAAATTGCATTGATTTTTCTTGGATCGCAATGAAATTTTCAACCTTGAAAAAATTGGAAGTTGAAACCCATGAGATGGAATGAAATACAGTAATTCAAAAAGGAAAAACAAGTAACGTCTTGAAAGAGAACTACATGGTGAATTCGCGAATGAACAGTCTATTGTGAACAGTAGGCTTGACACTTAAATTGATTAGTTTGTTTTTTTTCTTTGTTTCTTATATCTATTGATTGCATAAAATTCTTTGATTTGATACCATACATACAGTACGTAAGGTAAGACTACGATACTTTGTTTGTTTGTATACGATAGTAATTAAAACAAAATTACAATGTCGAATCCCACAGAGGATCAAAATGCTGTAGATAAGATAAATGTCAGTTTAACAGAATTAAGACATATGAGAAAGGGTGAGCTGAAAGAAATGGCCTCCCAATTAATGTTAGAAATTTCTAATACAATGAAGAAATGTGACATTATAGCATTGATTGCAAATCATTTGGGTTTACCTGATGTTCAGAGTGGGGGTGAAACCATGAGTGAAAGCCATGTCGTTAATGGTGAAGTGGAAATGGCGAAAATTGAATTGGAAAGAGAAAGACTGAATTTCCAAAGAGAAGAGAAGGAAAGAGAAAGAGAGAGAGAAGAAAGGGAAAAAGAACGAGAAGAAAGAGAAAAAGAACGAGAGTTTGAATTGAGAATGTTAGAATTGAAACAAGGCTTATCCGAAGATCAGGGTAGCTTTAGGCAACGGGGGGACAATAACAGTCCCAATTTTGATATTACTAAGCACATAAGATTAGTACCTAAATTTGATGAGGGAGATGTAGAATCTTTTTTCATAGCGTTTGAAAAGATAGCTAATCGTCTTAAATGGCCAAAAGAATTTTGGACCTTATTATTACAAAGTGGGTTAACAGGGAAGGCCCAAGAAGTGTTTGCCTGCTCATCAGATGCAGTAACCGATGATTATTTTAAAATCAAGGAATCTATTTTATCTGCTTATGAGTTAGTGCCAGAAGCATATAGGCAGAAATTTCGTAAACTAAAGAGGGTCCCTGACCAAAGTTTCGTAGAGTTTGCTAGGGAGAAGGAGATGATTTTCGATCGATGGTACCGAAGTCTCCATCAAGAAAATAACTTTGATAATTTGCGAGAAGTACTCTTGCTAGAGGAATTCAAAAGAAGCATACCATCCGAGATAAAATTGCATTTAGATGAGAGAAAAGTTATGGGGGCGAAAGAAGCAGCGATTATGGCTGACGACTATGAGCTTACACACAAAATTAGTGGTAGGTTTCACCTATATAGTAAAGATAGAACCCATAATGATAAGAGATCCAATGGTACTTCGAAACCTTTCCAAAATAAGGGATTTACGGGGGACAAGAAATTCACAACTGGGGGTCCCACATGCCATTATTGCAAAAAGAGAGGACACATTAAGTCAGAATGCTACAAATGGAAAAATGATCAACAACGCTCTGATAAAAAACCAGTTGCGTTTGCTAAGTCAAGCACACATTGTCGGACAGAGAAGATTGTAAAGGGGGTAGGTGAGTACGATGTGAAACGGCCTAAACTGATAGATAATGAATTGCAGGGATTTGAAGGATTTGTATTTACTGGTGTAGTTTCTCCTTGCTTATCCAAATCTGAGGGAAAATCAGTCACAATACTTAGAGATACTGGTGCTACCCAATCCTTAGTGTTGGCTGATGCTATAGCATTACCTCAATGTAGCTCAGAGAATGCTAGTGCTTTAATTCAGGGCATAGATGGAAGTTATCTTACCGTTCCCTTGTATAAGATTCACTTGAAATGCGGTTTAGTTACAGGTCCAGTTACGGTGGGCGTGGTTAAAACCTTACCTATCAAGGGTGTTAGCTTTGTGCTAGGAAATGACCTGGCTGGGGAAAGGGTGTCGGTACCTCCTGTAATCTTGAATGCACCTGTGGTTGAACCCTTGACAGAAAATTTAGAAGAGGAATATCCTGGGATTTTTCCAGCATGTGTTGTGACTCGTTCGCAGGCACACATGGATAGCAAGGTGCTTGATGCAAGAGACAATGTTTGCCTTGCAGATACTTTCTTTGCTAATTTAGATGCACCAAGTCTTAGTGAAGCAGTACCTCAGGATGGGGTTATTGATAGAACAACCTTAATTAAAGGGCAACAAGAAGACCCTGACTTATTAAATTTAAGAAATACCGCACTTTCTATAGATGAGGCCAGAGATATCCCAGAATGTTATTACATGAAAGATGATATTTTAATGAGAAAGTGGAGACCTCCTCAAAGGCCAGCTGACGAAGAATGGAGTGTAGTCCATCAAATTATAGTCCCTCCAGGTTATCGTAAAAAAATCCTAAGATTAGCCCATGAGATTCCTATGGCTGGACATTTGGGAATTAGGAAGACCCAGGCTAGGATAAGCAATCATTTTTACTGGCCTAAACTACACAAGGATGTAGTACACTTTTGTAAGACATGTCATGTTTGTCAAATCATTGGGAAGCCACAGCCATCTATTAAACCAGCCCCTCTTATTCCCATCCCAGTGTTTGAAGAACCATTTAGTCGGGTTATTGTGGACTGTGTTGGCCCATTGCCCCGCACTAAGTCAGGATACAATTATTTATTGACTATTATGGACTTATCATCACGTTTTCCCGAAGCTATTCCCCTCAGGAAAATAGGCTCTAAATTTGTAGTTGAAGCCCTGCTACAATTTTTCACCAGATATGGTCTACCTAAAGAAATTCAATCCGACCAAGGGTCCAATTTCATGTCTGGTCTGTTTCAAGAAGTGATGTCTGAGTTAGGTATTCACCAAATTAAATCTTCAGCGTATCATCCTCAGTCTCAAGGTGCGCTTGAAAGGTATCACCAGACACTCAAAAACATGATTAGGGCCTATTGTCATGAACGTGAAGAAGACTGGGATAAAGGTTGCCCTTTTTGTTATTTGCAACTAGGGACGTGCCAAATGAATCAACAGGATTTAGTCCTTTTGAGTTGGTTTATGGTCATGACGTTAGAGGTCCTTTGAAATTAATTAAAGAACGATTCCTAAATCATGATGATGAAACAAACCTACTAGATTATGTTTCCACATTTAGGGAGAGGCTTTCACAGGCTTGTGAAGTAGCCAGAAATCATCTCAAAGATTCCCAACAGTCTATGAAAGAGCGAGCGGACAAAAATGCCGTAGTTCGTACTTTTAATGCCGGAGACAAGGTATTAGTTCTCCTACCTATTTTTGGCGAACCTTTAGAGGCTAAATTTAGTGGACCTTACGTCATCAAAAAGAAACTCAATGATGTGAATTATGTAGTAAGTACTCCCGATAGGAGAAAAAGTCAGAGGGTATGTCATGTCAGTATGCTCAAACCATATCTTGACCGACAACCTATGGTTTGTGTAAGTAGGGTAGTGGAATCTGTAGATGAGAGTGTTGAACCACTGAAGGAAAATGAGCTAAACGATTCTCACATGGACGCTGTGACTGCTAGGTTGTCAAATTCTGAAATTTTAGAGAACATAGATAATTACCTCGCTTACCTAGCCCCTACACATAAACATGATATAAGTGCCTTGCTTACCAAATATCATAAGATCTGTACAGATAAATTGGGTTGTACAACTGTAGCCACCCATGATGTTGATGTTGGAGATTCCAATCCCATCCGACAACACCCATACAGACTTAGTCGGGACAAATTATTGTTAATCAGACAAGAAGTACAGTCTATGTTAGATCAGGGGATAATAGAGCCTAGCCACAGTAGTTGGAGCTCTCCAATTGTCATGGTCCCAAAACCGGATGGTTCTAAACGATTCTGCATTGA